CTATCCCTCTCTCTTCCTCTCTGTAAAAAATCAATAAAGAATATTTTTAAAAATATATATATATTAAAAAAAGAAAAGGAAGGACACAGGAACCAAACATCAGAAAGTACCAATGGCTAAAGATGGAGCAATCTGAGCAACAAAGTTAATGTAATGTAGACTTACTCCTCAAGTATAAAATAAATATGCTCAAGTCCACACTAATATAACTAAATAATTGAATAAATAAATGAGGGAGGAGGGACAAATCTTGCAGAATTCCATATTGAATATATAGATCCTCTTCCCTCAAGGAGATGGAGCTCCCTTGAGTGTGGGGTGCACTTAATGACTCACTTCTGAAGCATGAAGTATGGAAAGGGAAAAATGGTAACTGTACAATGGAAAACTTGGGAGACATTACTTTAACCAAGTAATCAAAGTTAAGGTCATGTCCTTTATCGAGGGCTATTTTGGTCATATTAATGCAGAGCATGGGAATGACAAAGTGACATCTTTATATCGCAGCACTTTTGTTTTATTCCTTTTCTCAATCCTGATTTTGACTAGTTGAAAGTCAGTCTCTCCAAATGCTTCCTCTTGGAGTAGCTAAACATTTAGACGAGGTTAATGAATATTACACTAATACAGTGGTTCTTCATTGCAGGAGATCCCCCTCCATACTCAGCACTGTTTTTGGGATTGTGTATGTGTACATGTATGTGTGTGTGAGGGAGGAGTTGCTACATATTTAGTGGGTAAAGGCCAGGGATGCTAAAGACCCTGTAATGACTTCCACAACAAAGAATTATCTGGCATCAAATGTCAGTCGTGCTGAAGTTGAGAACCCTAAACTAATAAATGCATACATCCAATAGACATTTATTGGGTACTTAGAGTATCCCTCTCACAAAGCTACATTTTCCAGATGACACAGATAGGCCCTGGCCCCCATCTCCTCTGGAAGCTTACCATTGTGTTGGATAACAGATGAAACACAGTAATGTATATGACATCTAGTCTGTATATATAAAAGCCTAAGCCACTGAACAACCAAACAACTGGTTGACCGGCCACTATGGCACGCACTGCCCCCTAGTGGTCAGTGTGCTCCCATAGCCAACCTCTCCCAGCCAACCTTCCAGGGTCCCTCCCCCGCAGGCCACCCCAATCAGTCCTGATGGCTGCCAAGCTGAGGGCCCCCACCCGTGCATGAGTTCATGCAATGGGCCTCTAGTTTTATATATAAAAGTCACTACTGTATAAGACAATTTATATTTAAAGGTCATGCAACCTGGCTAGCATGGTGCAGTAGTTGAGTGTCGACCTATGAACCAGGAGGTCGCAGTTCAATTCCTGATTCCTGGTGGAGGTGGGCTAGGTCCCCAGTGTGGGGCGTACAGGAAGCAGCCAATCAGTGGTTCTCTCTCATCATTGATGTTTCTACCTCTCCCTTCCTCTCTGAAATAATAATAAAAGAATAGTTCAAATAAGTGTTGTGGATTGTCTAGAAAGGTAAAGAGTTACCTAAAATGGCTTTGTGTAGGAGACAGGACTTTCAGTGGACCTTAAGTACTGGCATGAATAGGAAAGAGAAAACCAGAAGAACTATTATATTTATTTTACTTAAGAAATACCAGAGCCACAACCGGTTTGGCTCAGTGGATAGAGTGCTGGCCTGCAGACTGAAAGGTCTCAGGTTCAATTCAGTCAAAGGCTTGTACCTTGGTTGTGGGCACATCCCCAGTAGGGGGTGTGCAAGAAGCAGCTGATCGATGTTTCTCTCTCATCGATGTTTCTAACTCTCCATCCCTCTCTCTTCCTCTCTGTAAAAAAATCAATAAAAAATATTAAAAGAAAGAAATACCAGGAATAAAAACATGACTTGAATAGTCAGTCATAAAGACGATAGGTACACTCTTCTTTCCAATGCTACTTACAGAGGTGGACCTTATGGTTTTCTCACACAAACTGAGAAGAGGTTTCAGTTGAGTAGGGGGCATTAGTGTGTTGAAATGATTGTGTACGTCCTCCCATCTCGAGCCCCTGCCTTTATATGTTGTCCTTCATCTGAGAATAAATGCATCACAGAAGTGCTTGGGCTAATACTCTTTTCCTTTTGGTCACAGTATTCTCTCTGGTAACTTTACTCTTCATTCTTCTTTTGTGCTCTTTGTGCCCACCCCTCTTTTTTAATATGTGATGATCATTAGCTATAGATTGTATGAGATTATATGTTGTTAATAGAACTTTATACCATCCACAGTGATGATTGCAACATCTTCAAGGCTCTTTGGAAATAGATATTGTGGGGACTCCATTGGTTGAAAAGAAAGATAAAATTCTCATTGCTAGACTTGATGACTAAAGGGACTTAAAACATTTGTTAAAATGTATCTTGGCCAGTAGGTGGCGCTCTCCTCCCTTTGTGTAAATATGTTATGAATGAATAGCTCTCTTTGCCCACCCTTCCCCCAAGTGCTGTTGTAGTGAAAACCAATCCATCTTCAAGTCTTTTCCAATATATATATATATTTAAATATATATTTTTTTATTGAATTCAGAGAGGAACGGAGAGAGAGAGAGATAGAAAGAGCAATGATGAGATAGAATCATTGATTGGCTGCCTCTTGCACACCCCCTACTGGGATTGAACCTGCAACCGGGCATGTGCTCTAAACTGGAGTTGAACTCAGGGTCCTTCAGTCCACAGGCCAACACTCTATCCACTGAGCCAAACCAAATCTTTTAAATTCACCCTCTTTTCTTCATTCGTTATTTCAGGTCCATCCCTTATCTCTCCTATGGTATTAGAAAAATGTAATAACCTGCCTCTAGCATCCTTTGATCCTAACCCATTCAACATGTTATCATTAGAATCACTTTCCAAAAACAGATTGTCAGTGGCCCGCTGAAAAGTGATGTGTGTGTGTGTTGCGGGGGAGGGAGTGGTGGGGCGGGGGCTGAAGCGGGTGGGGAGCGGGATTCTCTATGAAGGCAATGCAGGAACAGAAAATTCAAAGCGAAGTGGAGGCCTCTCTAGGTAATAGATTTGTCTCAGGGCAAGTATGACTGGCTATTGTGGGAAAGGTAGATTCAGATCCTCCTGCCAAGGAATTGAACTTGCTCAATGAGCCATAGAGAATCACTGGATTCAAAGCTGTGTTTGAACAAGATTAATGGGGCCAGGCATGAGGATGGGCTGGGTGAAAAGAAAGAGTTCAGTGGAGAAAGCTTATAAGGGTAAGGGGGGCCAAAACCGGTTTGGCTCAGTGGATAGAGCATCGGTCTGTGGACTGAAGGGTCCCAGTTTTGATTCCGGTCAAGGGCATGCACATTGGTTCCTGGCAAATTCCCAGTGGGGGTTGTGCAGGAGGCAGCTGGTCGATGTTTCATCATCAATGTTTCTAGCTCTCTATCCCTCTCCCTTTCTTTCTGTAAAAAGTCAAAAAAAATATATAAAAAAAAAAAGAAAAAGGGTAAGGAGAGAGGCATAGTCATCTGTTTTGCACTTTGGAATATTCAGAAAAGTAGATCCTCAGCCACAATATTCATCTGTAAAATACTTAGTTGCAGAATCAATGTCAGGAAACATCTAGGAAGTCAGGAATACACCCACATATTCTGATGTCCTGTGTCTGTGTGGCTAGCCTTATGTTTTCTCACTGCCTCTGGGTAGATTAGTAGGTGCCAGAAGCAAAGCCACTACACTTGTTTTCAAGTCAAGAGTAGAAAAAGGAAAACAGCTTGAGCTTCTTTCTGTATCACAGGCTTGCAATGTGTTATTATTCAACACTACAGTGTCAGATTTAGATTTTCCACCTCGAGGAATTGGGTTTAGCTTTAATTAGTTGCTATGAATATTTCTGAGCCAACTCTTGGGAAACATTTATCTAGAAAAATGGTTTTACTAAAATATAAGCTGGGTTTAGGGTGTCATTTTTCTATCAAGCTTTGCATCATGTTCACACAGTTATAAATTCTCTCCAGCCATCTGGAAGATTTTGCCACCACCCACCATTGTTATACCAGATAATTATTCATTATAATTTAAAATACTATAATATTGAGTCCATCTGTATTGCCACCCAAGCTCTATGAGTAGCTGCAGGACTTTAGATCATGAATATTTTCCAGAGGAAAAATGATGCAGGTTATTCTGCATAGAGGCAACGAATGCATTTTTCATCCTGCAGCTCTTCAGAAAAACAAGCTTAAAAATATCACACAAATGAAAAACAGACTTCAGCAGTTACACGCAGCTTCCTGAGTGACTGAAGAATGTGCCTCTTGTGGTTAAGACGAGGGATCTGCTTAATATGGACGAAATACCAACACTCCAGGCATTTTCATTGACATTTCACGGTGACTTTTTGAACTTAGGAGTGCTGACACGAAAAACCTATTCTTGCTGTTCTGGAGGCCCGCAGGCAGACGGCAGAGAGGGCAGGAGAGGTAACAGGCTGCGTCCCTATCGCCTTTTCTCTACTTGTGTCTTTGTGTCTGAACTTCCCTTTCGTTTATACTGTTGCACTCCCCAGTTTCCCAGGATTCCTTTTCTGAAACCAGTTAGGAAACCGGGCAAGGGTTTGTTCTCAGGCTCTCCAATCCCATGGCCTCGCCACTGGGACTTGCGTACTTGACCAAAGTGAAAATATTTGTGGTGGGTAAAGACCTTTGCCAAAGGTCAGAGAGCACTTCTGTTCCTTGGAACCATTCGTTTCCCAGAGTGCCCTGGGCACCTCGGAGAACAGAGTCAAAGGGTAAAGGAGTCCAGGGAAGCCCCTTTTGGGATCTTCCCCAGCGCCGGCTGGGCTGGGCTCCGGGGCTGCCGGGTCGCCTGGCAGCAGCCCGGGAGAGACATGCTGTTTTGTTTAAACCCTCCACATTCTTTGCCATATCCCCATTGGCCGGATGGGGCTCCCCGCCGCGGCCGCTGCTGATGTCAGCCCCGCCGGCGCTGGCTCCTCCCGCGCCCACCTCCCGGGCCCCAGGCGCTGCAGCTCCGCGCGGACTCCGGCTCCGGCGAGGTGGCTGCAAACTCGCGGGCACGCACGGCGGGCGCCGGGGGAGCCGGGGCTCGGGGGAGGGGACGCGTGCGGAAGGCGCCAGCTCGCTCCCGCCGCCTCTTGCAGCGCGGGCCGAGGTTGGAGGAACCCGGGGCCTCCGCTCGGCTGAGCCCGGCGACGGCGGCTTCCCTTTTCTACCCCAGCGAGCTCCAGAGCACCGCGGGGACCGGCCCTCCAAAGAGCAGGAAATCTTGTTTACCGCCCGCGGAGAGGAGCCCAGCGAGCCTTTGTCTGGAAAGTCAGCATCTCCGGATGAATTCCTGCAATGAGTTTCTGGTGAATTAGCATCGGGCAGAGCGGCCGGAGAAGGGGGGTCGCGAGGTTCACGCCTGGTCTCCAAGGCGTATCCAGCGGGTGACTTTTGTGCATTCGTTTTAATTTTTGGAGATTTCTCTCCCCCCCACCCCCCCCCACCCCCCTCACTCGCCGCCACCGGGCATGTCCTGATCTGACGGCCGCTCCTACCGCCTGGAGCTGCGGATCCCAGTGGTTTCCAGCGGGGCTCCCTCCCTCCCTCCCGGACTTTGCAACACCCGCGTTCCGGGAGAACCGACTTCGGCGAGGAAGGGGGCGGGGGCGCCACGAACACCCGGACCCAAACCCTGACATGCTCTTGGGTGGAAAGGAGGAAGCCAGGAGCTGAGCGCACCGCCGGGTCTGTTTCCCCCGCCGGCTCCGAGCGCGGGGCTCCGGGCTCCCTGCCCTGCGCCTGGGCGCAGCCTTGTCGTTTGGGGCCGCCCCCCGCTTCCCGCTCCGGTGGTCCGCGGCCGGCAGGACCATGCTGCTCAAGGAGTACCGCATCTGCATGCCGCTCACCGTGGACGAGGTAAGCGCCGCGCCGGCCTGGCCTCGCCCGCTCCCCGCCTCCCCCCCCCCCCTCCCCGGGACGCCGTGTACCCCGCGGCCGCCTCCCGGCCGTCGAGTCCACTACGGGCGGCAAGGAAACCTGGTGGAACATTACCTCCCAACCCAGAAGGCCGGAGGGGAGGGAGGAGGGGAGGGGGATTGCTGTTTCCACTTGTCACCCCGGCGGGGGAGGGCGGCCTTGGGTCGGGCGGTGGACTCCAGGTGGGCCCTTCCAGGGGCACCTAGATCCACGTTCCTGGGGATCAGAATGCGCCAAAGGCAGTCGGTGCGCCCCCTTTCTCCAATGAAGAAAATGAATAAAGCACACCCAACAGCCCCACGCGCGCGCTGGTAAACTGGGTGTGTTTGGTGGTGGTGGTGGGGTGTCATCCTGTTCCGGCATGGGCTCGGGCTCCCCTCCGCCCTTTGCTGGAAGGTCCAGGTTCGGGAAGAGGCCCTTCACACTCTGAATCTGGAGGCCCCAAGCCCTGCTGGGGGACACCTCGGAGCCCGTGGAGGGCGGGGGTCCAGGCATGTTGCGGTGGCCGCCCGCCCGGGCGCCGCTCCCGCCACGCCCTCGCCACCAGGCTCCTTGACCCGGCTTCGACCTTTCGCAAACCGCCTGGCTCGGAAACTTTCTGCGTCTCCTGTTTCTTGAGCCGCGGGCAGCGTGGTCTGCGGGCGGGCGAGCCGCGCGTGGCGGGCGTCGCGGCACGGCCACCGGGGGGCGCTCCAGCACGCGGGTGCGCGTCCGGCCCGGGTTGGGTCCCGGCCGTGCGGGTGGGCGGCGGGGGTCGTCGTCCACGCTGCTCAGGTTCACAGTCAGGAAAAGATGACTCAGAATTATTCAGGCCCCAGCTTCCCCTTCTCCCTCTGCTCCCGACCTTCTTGGTGATCTCACCGTTGCTTAGCGCCTGCCCTGGGGACAGCGCGGGAGCATGAAGCCTGTCAAGGCAATTTGAAACTCACTGGTGTGGTTTGGTATGGCAACACCAAGGAAATCTGCGGCCCCAACCGTATTTATATTTGAATGTAGTGCCCTTAATCTATGTCTATCAAGAGTTATTGAGCCGCTGTTTTGTGGAAGGGACTAATTTACGTTGGAAGAGAAATGATAACCCAAAACGTGGCCGTGTTCCCAAGGGCCTGCCTTCATTTGTCGTCTAGAGCAAGTGTGAAGGGAAGACCCACTTACCTGCAAGGCAAGATCCAAGCAGCTCTGAGTTTACAAAACGAGTCCTGGGGAAGCTGCTGAGAGAGAGAGAGAGAGAGAGAGAGAGAGAGAGAGAGAGAGAGAGAGAGAGAGAGAGAGAGAGAGAGAGAGAGATCAGCCCCCACCCCAATGATCAGTGGAACGTTTGCAGTTGGTTGGTATTTGAGGAGAGAGCATTTGAGCAAGATCTTGAAGGATGGAGACCATGTGGGCAGTTCTGGGGCGCACATCCTGACTGTGTAAATAAAGTGGTGAAACAACACTTAGTTCTCTGGAGAGTGAGGGAGGCAAACGAATGAAACTCCGGTGTTGTAGAAAATGTGAGATCTCAGTCCATGGGCGGGCAGCGGGAGCTGGAGGTTCAGCTTGGAAGGTGTTTACTTCTACAAGATCTCCTCCTAATGACGTTATTTATTGATCAGAATTTGGACTCTAGGGGCCATGTTAGTTCTGCATGAAATACCGCCCCCCCCCCCCCCTCAATTCAGATGATAGTCAAGAAGATAACCAGTTCTAGAATCTTCTCTATTACCTGCAAAATATCTTTATTCTGGTTGGTTCCTTCTCAGGCTTTCTTGAACAGGCAGACACAGCTCCTTTCCCCACTGTTCGTTTTTTTGGACTTAAATACCCAGCACCTCCCTATAAGGAAATCACATTTGAGAGGTCTAGATGGAGGCCCTTCCTTCCTTAATTGGAAAATGAAATCAGATTCTACTTGTAACACCATGTATAATTATAACTTAATTAATATATAATTCATTTGGACTGAAGCATGATTCAGTTTCTGTAAGGTCATATTTGAAGTAGAGAAGCAGAGGGACATTTTAGATTGATAGAGGTTTCCAACTAAGGATTCCGGCGCACCAAAACAGTTGATGGATGGGAAGGCTAGGTCCATCTTGTCAGAGATCAGACCCCTAGAGCTTGACTGGTAGTAAACCCCACAGTTACCATGATTCCCCTTTGCACTATGCCCCACCAACCTGAACATTGACTATTGGGCAGCAACTTAATGTCTTCAAAGAGGACAGTTATCATCAGTTTAGCTAGACCTTTAGAACTTACCTCACTTTTGTTTCAACTCTTGAATTGCTTTAGGCCAGATTCATGGATCTATAGAACTTCTGGGACTTATTTCTCTGTTTAACCACCACAGTTCATTAGTAGCAGTGTCCATGTTTTCTAAAATGAGGCAAATGCTTTGTCTTAGAGAGGCATATTCTAGAACCAACACTGTGTCTGTGTCCCCTCCCCCCCTCCCCCTCAGTATCCATTTAACTCCTTACTGAGGGGAGGGGAGGGGAGAGTAAAGGGGACTGGTGTGTTGTTATCTACATTTTGCAGATGAGTAAACTGAGACTCAGAATGATTTAGTAATGTACACCAGGGCGCACAACTAGTTAACAGCCAAGCCAGAACCAGAGCCACGTTAAGCAAACACATTGTTTGTTTTTCCTTATTCTGCTCTCTGCCTGTCACTCATATTTATTCCAGCAAAAGCAAAAACACTTTTCTTGAAAGCAGAAAAAGCCAGCACTACCAACTAAATGAAAAAACGAAAATTCAAGAGAGAATTGTTCAAGAGCGTTCTGTTTCTACTATTTCTCTAGCCTTATAAAATGTCCCATAGTTCCAGGAAAGAAGAGCCGCTCTGGGAGATAAAGAGAAGAAGGCTGAACTACAGTCTAGACAGAGTGTTGGTGTTTTGTTCTGATTTAGACATTAATTTCAGAATAATGAATTATAAGAAGTAACACCCCGTGGATTGATTTTAATTAAAAAAGTCATTGGGAGAGTCTCCTCATCTATGTTCAATGTCATTGTCTCTGAACTAAATATCAGCCCTTGGGAAAGTTCTGCTTAGCAAAGGACCTTGGGAGCTGACAGTTGGTCATAAAGAAGTAGTTGTCAATGTTTTCATTTGAAACAGTTGGCAATGTAGATTCTGGAATTTTAAATTTGGAAGGGCTATTAGAGATGACCTACAGTTGAACCATTTTGCTTTGTAGAGAATAGAGTTGTAGAAGGTTTAGTTAGCTGCCCAGCTCATAGCTAAGGGCAGGGTCTAGGCCAAAACCCAGGACTTCTGATTTCTGGTGCAAAACTGTTTTACTGTAGGATAGAGGTTCTTCCATTTCTCCCCTCTGGGCTTCCTTGTTGGAAGGAAATATTATTTCTAAGCGTGATATGCAAAACAGGTATAGTGTTTAGTTGGAGGTGGGTTAAAGGCTTTGACCATGGATGTGTACTTAGGGGATATTTAAGGGTGGCCAGGGGAGCACCATTTAGAGCTACTTTTGTACAATATAACAAGCCCCCTGGTTTTCCTTAGATTGTATGCTTATTTGGGGTGGCTTTTGGATATGTGGCTCCATGGAGATGATGGTGGCGTTTAAGACCCCTCCCTCCCCAAGAAAGCCCTTGGGTGCTTCCACTGGTCCCAGCATCCTAATTCCAAATGTCATCTTCATGATATTTGGGGCACAGTCTGAAGATCACCCCTCCCTGACAGGTGCTTAGCAGCAAGATAAGTATTTTCCTAGAGCTGAGCACATCCTAATAAAATCTGAGGCAGGAATCCTTTCGTTTTCATTGCTTGCTCTGGTGTTTAACAGTTCCTGTTCTGATTGCATTAACATTAATATGTGTACTTTTAGTGATTTACTTGTGGTCTTTAGGGATTTGGTGCACAATGAAGGTAGGAACATTCTTCTTCCTTCTAAGAAAGGAAGAAAAAAAAAAAAGGAACAAGAAAAACAACTTTTAAAAATACAGAATATTACCTTGTTCTTCGCCCTGGCAGGGAGCCAGTGCACTTTATCCAGGCTCCCCAGGGCCCCAGAGACTTTTCTGAGAACAGATTTGGGAGCAGGGTGGTGCCATCTCTGGAATGACCTAAATGGAGGTGCCGAAATGCCAGGGTCAATAAAATATTTTGAGGGCTTTGGGGCAGGAATTTTTTAAGGAAAGAGTTTTTAAGTTTGCCCTCGGCATTGACAGTTTGTTTTTGGTACAAAGCGATACCCCTAAGTATAAAGGCTTTTGGGGTTAATCTAACAGACCTTCCCAAGATTCCTCATAATTGTAATTTTGCAAATGTTTTTTTTAAGAATGAGCGTTATTAATTTTTAAGAAGAAAAGCAGAAACAAAAAAAAAAAAAAAAAAAGAAAAACAAAAAACTAAAAAACTAAATGACAACAACAACAAAAAATGAGTACAATTGTGATACGCATCCCCTTACCCCCCGCCTTAGATTATCGGGAGGAACCAATGCCAGGGTCATGAGTTTGATTTCTGGGCCATCCTGGCAGCTTCTTTTGCTTGTTCCACAGCCAGAGAACAATGCCCCTCCTGCTGCCCAGCTATCTTGCAAAGCTCCCTTTGTGGTCCTGAGGGGTACCTGGGGAGAGGAGCGGGTTAATGGATAAGTGCAAACCTTTCACCACTAATGGAGCAGACAAGGAGCAGCTGCCACCCTCCTGGCTGGCCAGTGAAATGGACTTTGTTTGTGAAGGCCCTGCATTTTCCCTGTGATTTGAGTGTGAATGCCCTTCACGTGAAACAGATTCTGGGCCCTGAAAATAATGCACGCTGCTGTTAACAAAACCCTCGTTAAAAGAGGGGGTAATTAATTTTTGCTTTTCATTTAAAAAGGCATCGAGTGAATCCCTATAGCTCTTAGAAATCAATTTAGAAACCCTGTCTGTTTAATTGAGTATTATTGATATTCAGAGAAAAGCAAGCATCTTCATTTCAGAAAGGC